AGACAACCTTCTCTTGCTCCTTTCTCTGATTGGACAGTCCAAATGTCCGTCAAGTCCTCGTAGAGCCATTTGCATGATGAGGAGACTATAAATCAGGATGATTTAGGAACCGCCTTCCTAGGCGCACTCCGCTGATGCAGTCGGGACAAGAACAGCACCGAGCTTACTGTGAGAAAAAGATCCCAGGAAGATGTCTTCTTATACAGTGGGTCCACAGTCTTCTTACGGGAAGATGTTCGGTGGAGAGAGAGTCCCGGACAGGACCAGCTACTCCAGCCGCCAGTTCTCCAGCCCGGTGCGCTCCCCACGGGTCTCCAACGGGTTCTCCTCCTCCTTCTACGCGACGAATAACCAGAGTCACTGGAGCACCGCGGCCATGCTGGACTTCCCCAAGTCCGACGCCATCAACAGCGAGTTCATGACGAACCGCACCAACGAGAAGGTGCAGATGCAGTCGCTCAACGACCGCTTCGCCAACTACATCGACAAGGTCCGCTTCCTGGAGCAGCAGAACAAGATCCTGCAGGCGGAGCTGGAGCAGCTGCGGGGCAAAGGCACGTCCCGGGTCGGGGATCTGTACAAGGACGAGATGCGGGAGCTGAGGCGCCAGGTGGACCAGCTGACCAACGAGAAGGCCCGGGTGGAAGTTTCCCGGGATAACCTGGTAGAAGACATCGACAGGCTGAGAGAGAAGTAAGGGGGGCGTCTCCGATCTCTGTATGATGTTAAAGAAACTCAATGCAGATGTGATTACGTTGTGTCCCTGAACCGTTATTGCCAATATGCGGATGTTCCCTTATTATTCATCAACTTCTTCTAGCTTTAAGTTTATATATGCCAGGCACTGCGCAAAATTCTGAACTTGAAGTGTTGCCGCAGCTCTCTGTCTGAGTTTATTTCTCACTGAAATGTTTGTCATGCGTGAAGAAGTAGGCAGAAAAAAGGAGATCATGTCAGTTATAAAAAAATAAAAAATGGCCTGCTTTTTGTCTGTCCGTGCAGGTTGCAGGAGGAGATCTCCCAGCGAGAGGAGGCTGAGGGCACCATGCAGAATTTCAGATTGGTACAGTATGATTCACGTGATGAAATAAAGTGTTTTTCACACTGTTGGCATCAGGTACATCTTTGTTGTGTTTAAATGTGATAGATAGGAATCTTGCAAAGAGAGCGATAAAAGGGAATGACCTTAGTTTTAACAGCAGAAGATGCTGATGGCTCCTCCTGAGCACTGCCCTTCTGTTATTCCTGCTTAAATATCGCTTTAAATTGATGACAAGTGACGTCAAAGAGATGAGATAAACCTCAATTATCTCTGCGTCTCACTTGTAACAGTTATGTGGTGTAAATGTCCATTTTCTCCCCCATGATCTCCATCTAATTATTGCTCATGAGCTGCAGAGACTGGAATGCACTCTTCTGGTGGCACAACAGCAGATTTTAGCCATGATCTGAACTGAGCCTGTCCTGGTACAAAAGGCCAAGTTGTGGCTGTTGAGTTAAGTCAGGCTTGCAGTGAGAGGAGATCTTTTTAAGTCTGACTGGTCACACTGAATGAGCTGGACACAACAACAGTGTGGGCCCAATGTGGTTATCAGAGCGAGAAGACAAGCCACCATGTGATCCGGCTGTCTCGCTCTGGGAAAGCATCCGCACGTAGACACGTCACTCGTTATCGGTTTGTCAGTGATTGTTCCCGATCACTGGGTTTATTGGTGATTAATGAAATGATGAGGGGTAATGCAAAAAAGTTTCAAATGAATGTCACCGGACAAAAAAAACAAAAATATGCATTTGCATAGCTGCAGACATAAAGAAGTGTCAACTTGAATGTGCTTTCTTAGGGCATGCGGTATGTTATCAATACATCACACCATCGTGACCTTGTCTATATGAATGGCAGGAAGGAAGTCCCCTGTGGTCTGTCCCTGCCATGGTGGCACAGAGTCAACAATGCAGGGCCTGCAGCCGGCTCTCGCTCAGTCAGGCAGACAGTCACTCTTCCAGCCCAGGGCCGGTTTGGGAAGCCCTGCTGAATGCACACTTTGTTTGTGGCATTAGAGCAGGGGCAAAGCTCCTTCATTTGCTGATACCTCAATTACCAGCCTGCCAACACCCTGACAAAGCAAGGCGGTCTGCTGCCACAGCCAGTGTGTACGTACGAGAGATAGAATTAAATAGAAGATAGAAGGATGTTTGGAATACAATACAATGTTTTACATTATAATGTGTTTTTTTTTTTCAGAAGAGAGCATTTGCTTTATGCTTCATTCAGTAAAGTTATCAAATGGTAAAATGCAGTAATTGCTGTATGTTAAACCACTCAGTAACAGCTTATAGTGGAATGTTTAAATTTAGAGACTTTTGGATAAAAAAATGCAGTTAGGTAACAATAACATGGGATTAAAGGCCTCTTGAACAACGCTTTGTGGCTCTGGGTGCTCTACAGTGACTCCTTTTATTAAATCAAATTCATTTAGAAAGAACAATCTCACTGATTTCTTTTTTAGACATTTATCCCAGAAGTAATTGTCTAGGCAGGTATGCGGCTTGTTTTACTGTACAGTAAGTGTGCACCATTTGACAAACCCCAGAGAAGTGTTAAGAGTCTATACCTAAGTAAAAGTAGAACTACCATAATATAAAATACTCAAGTACAAGTCAAAGTCCTGCATTATAAGTTAAAGTAAATAAATATGCTGAAACACAAATTTCAGATGGTTATATTATCAATCATATAGTTTTTTCCCTGGTTTGTATTACTTCATGTAGTCGTTTGTCAATAAGTAGCCAATTTCTACTTTATACACTACTGGGTAGTTTAAAAGTAAAACACTGCATCATATTTTATGACCTCATCATATAAAATTCTTAATTTGAAAACTGATCAGTAATTGAATGTCAAAGAAGTAAAAAGCACAATAGATACCTCTATAATGTAGTATAAAGTATACAATAAAAATACTCAAGTAAAGTTCAAGTACCTTAAAACTGACCTTTAGTGCAGTTCCACCACTGCCAATCTGCCTGTGACGTACTCGAGGACAGTGGCCTAAGAGGTGCTGCGGTATATACAACACATGAAAATCACGAGAAAACATCTGCAGTGACACTCGTCATGTGCCTGCAGTTGATTTCTATTGGATGCATGTGTTTGTGACTTTGCCTTGCTGAACAAAGGGTCATTTTGTGTTCGCGGCTGTTGTGTGAGTTACGCCTGTACAGCATGTGTGAAAGAGTATTTTCCTTCTATGTCAGCAAACACATAATGCATGATTCATGTCAACTTCACGAGTCACCTTCTTAAGAGTCGGTGTCACTACACAGGATGTGGACAATGCTGCCCTCGCCAGACTGGACCTGGAACGGAAGGTTGAGTCCCTCCAGGACGAAATCATCTTCCTCAAGAAGCTGCACGATGAGGTAAGCTTCCTTTTCTGTGTCTGAAGCTGACCCAGTCTGCTGTGGAAACACGGCACATGTACTGCCTAATAAGCTAACGGCACCCCAATGATTACTGGACCAAATCATTTGAGGTATTTGTTAATCTGGCCACAGTACCAAATCGGTAGGGTTCAATGCATCAGAGCAATTTAAATGCAGCCAGGAAAGTCATAGAAAAGTATGGAAAAGGACATTCAAATAAAGAGTTTATGTACTTGTACATGCCAGCTCTATTGATTCTATTGCAGGAAATGCTGGAGCTGCAGAACCAGATCCAGCAGCAGCAGCATGTGCAGGTGGACATGGAGATGGCTAAACCTGACCTGACAGCTGCTCTGAGAGACGTCCGTCTGCAGTATGAGAACCTGGCCACCAAAAACCTCCACGAGTCTGAGGAATGGTACAAATCCAAGGTAAAGACTTTCCACAAAGTTGGAGAGAAAAAAGGTTCAAGAAATCCAAAAGCAACCGAATAACTGTATTAGAGCACATTCTGCATATTTTATGTTATTTATTTACCATTAATATAAACCATTATATATTGAACTCACCTGACTCTGCAGATCCCCTTAACCATATGGAGCATTTTAGTGCCTTTCAGTTTTTTGTTTTGGTTTGGTCTGGCCCCCAACTTAACTGTTTGGGTCCAGTTTCATGGCCCTTGTCAGCAGTGTTCTAGGCTGCAGTGGGCACTACCTGCACAGCACCAAATGACTGACAAAGTAAGCAACTACCTGGTGAACTGTGAGGAGCATTTAGCAGCCAAGGAGACTTATATTTCCCCCAGGACTTGGTAGAGACCAAAACAGAGCTAAAATAGACTGAATATTGGACTGACATTCATCAGGGGGCCAGAAACACAACTCCAAATGCATGATAATGTTGCTCCTCATCCGCTTGACCTGTTAACAAGCGACTCTTTGCAAACAAGTTTGCTGGTGTGTTTACAGCGTGTTTCCAAGTGGCCCAAAAAAAACTTGTTTTAAGTTAGATTTTTGTCTTCAAAAGGCATTAAATAAATGCTGCAAAGAAGAACTGTTCCTTCTTTATGACCTTTTAACATTGGAATGTGGTGAAATGTGTTGCCTTCAACCACCAAGCAGCAGTGTAACGTCTACAAGCCGTTTGTAGCCACATCTTTCATTGTTTACATGCTTCACCCTCTCTGCCATGGACACTTTACCTCAACCTCTGACTCAGCATTTATTGAACAGTTGATTTTTCAGTTCTTCCCCTTTTCTCTCTATGTTTGTTACTGTGGTTGCCAGTTTGCTGACCTCACCGAAGCTGCAGCCAGGCATAATGATGCGTTGAGAGTGGCCAAGCAAGAGGCCAATGACTACAGACGCCAAGTTCAGTCCCTTACTTGTGAGGTGGATGCCCTTAAAGGAACTGTGAGTATGCAACTATAGGCTTATACTGTATTACACTGTGTTTTATTTTCACAGGTCTTGTATGCAAAAAAAACTTTATATTTCAGTTTTTTTTACTGCCTAAGTGTAATTTTGTTCCCACTTGGCTGCCCTCCCAGAATGAGTCGATGGAGCGCCAGATGAGGGAGATGGAGGAGAACTTCTCTCTGGAGACGGGCGGTTACCAGGACAGCATCGGCCGCCTGGAGGAGGACATTCACAACATGAAGGACGAGATGGCTCGTCACCTCCGGGAGTACCAGGACCTCCTGAATGTCAAGATGGCCCTGGACATTGAGATTGCCACCTACAGGAAGCTGCTGGAAGGAGAGGAGAACAGGTGGAGGATGAAGATCTTCAAAAAGTCCAGCTTATAGATGTGTTATGAATATTCATGTCGTGCATTAAAGACACCCATGTTGATTTGTGGACTATACTTTCTCTATTTTCAGAATCACCACCCCACTGCCAAACTTCTCATCTCTGAACCTGAGAGGTAGGATCGCCCTCTGCATGTTGTCACAGCAGGAATGTTAGCATTGGTTATTGAATAAAATAACACACTAATTTTCTTTTTTTGTCAGAATCAATGATTGATTCCAAACCCCATTTTGAAGCTACAACAACTAAGAAGGTTCTAATCAAGACCATTGAGACCAGGGACGGTCAGGTATGGTCCACTTCAAGTGATTTTCAATCAATGAAGTAGTTTTCTGTTGGTCATTTTAGCTCAAACACACAGCCTTGCTCACCTTCTCTCTGTCCTCTACATCCTCGTTCAGGTGATCAATGAGTCAACCCAGAACCACGATGACTTGGAGTAATGATATTTTTGTCTTTGCCAAACAATCAACAAAAGCAATATGAAGAAACATACTTCACCAGGGCTACAAGCAAGCAAACAAACGAACAACACAAAAAGCAAACAGCTTCAGAAAAGTGCCTTTCTATGTGATGATCCAGAAAGCCTGTTAGTTGACACAGACTGTATTTTGCTTCCTCCTCTGCTGAAAGTATTATCTTTTGTTCCAATCGTTTAGACACAGTAATGAAATCACCACAACATAGAAATCCTTATTGAGGTCTGCAAAAATCTTTATTTGTAACAAAAATAGTGTTTTTGATCAATACAGCATGCACACTCCAGGAAATCTGTCTGCTAAAGATGTCACAATTGCCTGTTCGCAGCAATAAACCAGTAAGACCGAAACTCAATACTGTGCATTAGGTGTAATACTTTGCTGGTATTTGCTGGTATTGCTGGTAATACTTTTATGGTAATAAAGTAGAAGTAGTAAAACAATGCCTCATATGAATACATATTGGAAATGGTCATTATTTTAGAAAATAACATCCACATGTTTATGCAGTCTAAGACTTTCTTATTTAGGAGCTTCAGCAGTCCCTAAAAACATTTACCTACACAAGAAGGACAAAGTATTAAAAAAGGTCTGTTGTATTTGACAATAGGTTGTACATGTGTATCTAATAGACTAGTGTGCAGTGTCACACTTTTGGAGTTTATATTTGAATAATGATAGCTTAGACTTGGTGGATCTATAAGCATCCCAGGTACAGCAGCCTTGTACAGTCTTCCTGAAAAGGAGTCAAGTCATACAGAGTAGACAGAAGTAACAGTAGAATAATTACAATATTAAGTAAAATTAGTGCTATTATATATTATGGATTAATTACAGCTGCTAAATGGAACTTTGAAATGCGATTGTTTTGTCAACTGCTGTTTCCAATGTTCAGGGTGAACTTTGAAACTCAACGTTAAAGCCAACATGTGTTCATGTAGATCATGTGACATGATTGAAAGCTCCAGAATGCTTCTAAATCGAACTTACGGTAAGATTGTTTGTCAACAATATGTTAAGTAACTATTAACTGTAACAAGCTTCAACAGTGATCTGCCACATGTTTATTTGTTCAAAATACTATAATGTGGTATAAAGGTTGAGTTGCATCGTAACATATTTTAGATGTAACTAAGTGCATTTCCTTAAGGACTGTACTTAAGCACAATTCTGAACTACATGATCATTGCCATTCATTGATAATTTATAATTCCACTCCATTTGTAGAATATTGCATTTCAGCGTGCCATATTCTAGTCAATGTTTTACTCCACTAAATGTATCTGTTATAGTTACTTTTCACATGAAAAACATACGATTGGTTCATAAATAATGATGCATTGTGAAAGGTTAAACTACCCAACAGTATACATGTAAAATTAACTCCCCAGCAACCAGCTGACAGCAGCCTACTTCTCACACAAATACTATAACACTGCAAGAGGCCATGTGCACTTTTTACTTTTAATACTTTAGTGCATTTTGCACTGCTGTACTTTTCTTTAAATGAGATTTTGAAAGCAGGCATCTGTAATTGAGTTATTTTACATTGTTGCATTGCTACACTTAAGAAATAAATAAATAAATAACACCATATATGTCACCTGATCAGTAGATCCAGGTGACATATATATACATGTACATCCAGTCGATGTACATGTGTGTTGCATTTGTTGTTTTAATGGCCTAACACTTAAAGTGATGTTGATCAGTGTGCGTTGTCCCTAAGAATAAAAAAATAAAATAAATAACACCATATATGTCACCTGGCATCAGATCAGTCGATAGTGAAATTAAATTGCAATAGTATCAACCAGTAGAGGGCAGTCACTATGCATATTTAGAATATTTATTACACAATATATAGAATTCAAATACTTTCCACTAAAAGCTGTTTTATCATTTATCATGTGGGAAGTATAAATGTGTAGCTTCAGTGACATCTGCCCATTACAACTTGTTGTGTAATTATGTAAATTTTGATGTCAATGTGGCATTGAAGAAAGGTCAGAGGGTCACCAAATGCATTATGGGTAGTTATCTGGGGACAATGAATATAGAAAGTAACCTTCTTGGAAATCCAATTCTTTAATGCAGTGTGTGCAAAGTTGACTTCAACTCATAGGTGAGGCGAGACAAAAGTCCCATGCATTATCCAAAATGGAAAGTCTTCATTCTTTGGGGAGTATCCAATTAATGTGGGGGCAATTTGCCCAGTAGCTGGTATATGTATATATGTATATATATATATATATATATAATTACATGAAAATTGTGGCTCCATGGGGGCACTTGTGGAGAGCTCATGGGTTACCTGATATCTTGCTGTTGACCAAAGTGAAAGCCTAAACAAATTGCTGAATGCCTCCGCCATCCTTACATCAGCATCTATTGTTGCTTATAACAGAATGTTTTGTGAAAAGCCTTCGTTGCCACTGTCTATAGCTAGTGTCAGAGTTTAATGCAAAAGCAGGCAAGGGTCCTACTATGCATTATACTGATACAGAGAATCGTATATGGCTTAC